TAAAAAACCTCCTTCCTGACAGTGTCAGCAAATGTCTCAGGGTTGTTCTCACTGGGCAGGGTTAAGTCACATGCCTTCCTTGAACCAATCACTGTGGCCAGGGAAAACAAAAGTTGATTGGCTAGGTGTGGGTCCTCTGTCTCACTCTGGAGTTGTTGAGGGCAGAGGTATGGCCAGCCTTTTTCAAATTAAATAGATTGAAAGAGGAGAGAAGTAGTTCCCCAAAAGAAAACAATGGAACACTGGGGTGAGGTGGGGAGCCAGGTAGCTGGAATTGCATGTGCAGAGGCTCTTGGGACTTGCCTCTTAAGTTCAAGGATCAGCAAGGTCACTTCTGCTACACTATGGACTTCTGTTACAGCGTCCTCCACCCTGCCCGCAGTTGCATCCTGTATACGGATCCATGAACATCCCTTTCACATGCGTAACTCTCTTATCCAAGTGGGTAAGGCTGTGGCTTTGTACCTCATTCTCCGTACTCGACTGGTAAAAAGTTACCATTTCTCTGTTCCTTTTAAAAGTGGGTGTGATGGGGCTGGGTTTGTGGCTCAGCTGTAGAGCGCTTGCCTAGCATGTGTGAGGCCCTGGGTTCGATCCTCAGCACCACATAAAATAAAATGGGGATATTGTGTCCATCTACAACTAAAAAATAAAATAAAGCGTTTTTAAAAAGTGGGTGTGATTGAGTTAAAACATATTTACTTGACATAAACTAATTATTCATCAGTGGGAACATGAGAGTTAGGGAGGCCAAGGGGTTAGGGGACAGTGGAGAGGGATGGAGGGGCAGGGTCGGGGGAAGAGAGGGCGCTAGACTGGAAACACGGAAGGATTGTGGAATTAGCGTGGGGTTGGGAGTTGGGAGCAGGAGGGGAGGTTGGGGTTCATTGGAAAGGAAGAGGGGCTTCAGGAGGCTGGGCGGGAGGACAAGAAGGGGCAAGAGGCCAAAGGGGCCCAACTTGCGGTAGGAAATGGAGGGGTGGAACAGAGGTGGGGTTAGAGGATGGGCCCCTGGCACAGGGAACAGAGAACAGAGTGCACTCTCTTGGAACTTCAGAGGCCCGGCGAGTGAAGGAGCGGCCGGCTGACCGCGCGGCTGCCGAGGAAGTCCACGGCGAGGGGCGTGGCTGGGGGTGTGTGTTACGCGGTATCCCCCCTCAGAGTTCCAAGTCTTCTCCTCTGGGCCCGCCTCCCCCTCGGGAGTGACAGGCTTATAGCCCAACCAGAGCGCAGGCAGGGTGCGGAGCAGCCAATGGTGCGGCGGGGGCGGGGCTGGGGAGGGGGCTCACAGGCTAGGGGAGGGGGCTCCGGACCTCGGAGGGCTCGGGAGCCGAGACCGGCGAGCCATGGCACTGGGGCTGCAGCGCGCAAGGTACTGGGATTTAGGGACAAAATTATGGGAATTGGGGGGCTCTCCTTCCCGGGACCCCTGATGGGGGAGGTGCGCGGATGAGAGCCAAGGACGCCCCGGGGCGAGCGGTTGGAGGCACACCCCGCCTCACCTTCCAGACCAACTCCTTGCCTGTCCCGCCCCTCTCACCAGGAACGGTTTGGGGGTCGTGATCCCCTATTTCCTGACACCCCACTTCGCTTCCCCGCCTGGTTGGGGTGAAACTTGAGATCCACATGGAATTGGAGGTGGTTGCGTTTGGGCAGTGCCCGGGCTTTCGAGAGTCGGGGGAACCTTTCTACCTTGCATAGTGATCCCTCTGGTCTCCAAAGTCTCAGAATGGAGGTGGTGCTTAGCCATCCTCCGACCCTTGGGATCCCAGGGGATATGGGTGCCTACCTACAAACTGGCCATTCTCAGATAAAGGGAATCCCTTAGGGATTTGCCTTCTGAGTACCAAAAGGAAGAGAGATTCCCCCTTGATTGGACCCTTAATGACAGTCTCCCAACCTTGGGTTCCCCTAGAGATAGGCTGAAAAAGTCCGTTTTAGAAGCTGCCTGAGATCCTTCCCAGAAGCCTTTTGGTATCCTTTTAAATAGTAGCGTCATCCCCCTCATAACAGGGAAACGAGCATGACCCTTTTCCCAAAGTCTGACCCCATTCCTCATTCATCCACTACCCCCTCCCAGCCACCAGTCCCTGCATACTGAGGGATGAGGGCCACACCCAAGCCTTATTTGGGGGAGAGCCTATGGCAAGGCACTGTGCTTGATTCAACAGGTGACCCCCACACACAAGCTAACTGGAGCACCCCCTGCTCAGTCTCAGCTAGAGTTCATCACCCAGCAGGTGCAGATCTGCTGGGGCAGAGAGAGGCAACCTATGCTCTGGGACCGCTCTCAGGTTTCCATGGGACCTCAGAAAATGTCCCAGGTCCTTGGTTTTCCTATCCAATCTGAGGCACTCAGCAAGCCTCACGGCTTCCCGCCTCCCTGGCTTCAAAGGTCTGATTAGATCCATCCACACCCCTAAGTTTTTTTACCCCCCCCCCCTCCAGGCTCTCTTCTCTCCCAGTCTATTCCAGTCCCTGGCTCTGGGCCCACCAGGGAACTCCATCCCACCCCTTCTGGGCCAGCTGTGGTGGCCCTGCCCCTCCCAGCGCCCCCTCCTGGCCGGGTGGGGGCCCCCTCGCCACCCAAGGCCAGCCCTTTCCTGTGGTGTCATCCCACTCTGCACACCACCCACTCATAACTCGCACCCGGATCCCGGCTCCGCTCTAGCGGTCCTGCGCCCCCAGGATGGCACTTCAGCCAAAGGGGGTGATGGTGAGTGGGCCCCTCTTGCCCCCTTCCCTTATTCCAGATGCACTTGCAGCCACCCCTGGGCATAGATGTTCTCCGGAAGTCCCTACGGGCACACTATCTGGGTGCCCACGGAGGTCAAGGGTGCCCTGAGGAGATAGGACTTTGGAGATGAGCATCCCACGGGATTACCATGTCCTTGAGAACAAGCAAAGTTGGGGTCAGAGAGACTCCCCCAACGCCCACCCCAAGTTCCTTCTCAAACCCAAATCCTGCCTCTGGCCTCTCAGGTCACCTCTGAGCAGTGCCAAGAAGGGTCCCTGCCCAGATAAAACCTAAGCCTCTGCCACCGCCCAGTCCACAAAGGTTTGTGAGCCCCCCCCCCTCAATACCCAGAGAACCAGGAGAGCCCAGGAGGAGCCCTGAATGTGGGGTGGGGACTCCCTACTTTTGTCAGGTCTTTGCTCCCAGGTCTAAGTCCTTCAGGGTGGGAAGAGGTGGGCTTCTCTCCCTCTTGGTGGGGGGAAGGACCGGCCCTGTCCCCCTTCTCAGGCCTCACCCTGGGGCCTCCTGGCCCCACCCCCTGTTCTTGGCTGGAACATGGGGAAGGGTGGCAGGGATCCAGCAGCACGTCTCCGGCTGGGCCCTGTGCCAAGGGGCTGGACCAGGGTTGGGCATGGGGCCAGCTGAGGAGATCCAGAGGCAGCAGCAGTGGGACAGGGGAAGAGACTGAAGCCACCAGGCAAAGAGGAGCCTGGGAGGGGTCCCTTGGACACCCCCACTGAGGAAGAGCATTGAAAGGCACAGGCCCACCCACTTCTTAGCTGTGTGGCCTTGGGCCAGTGTCTGCCTCTCTGATCTCCAATTTCATATCCTGGGAAATGGGAGGCGTCCCTCCTCCTCCCCACCCCAGACCAAGTTGAGAAGCCAGTGAGGAAAAGGTTCGGGGGGCAGAACTCCTGACAGGTGACAACAAACTGAGTTCAAGTCAGAGTTCTGGGTGGCAGTGGACAGACCTGGCTCTGCTTCTGAGCGCCGTGTGCCCTCAGGCAAGTTCATCACCTCTGAGGACCTGCTTCCACATCAGAATAACCCCGAAGGAAGGTCCAGGTACAGGGTGGGTTAACTAAGAAGTGGATGAGCAACGCTGAGAGTTGACGAGCAGCCCCCCACCCTCACCCTGGGATGCCACCTGGGTTGGTCCTGTGGGGACTCCATTGTTCCAGCTCTGCTGCTTCCTTTTATGAAGGGAGCTCACTTCTGGCCCAGGGGGTTGTTGGGAGGATTTAGTGGGGTCTCTAGCTCCACGAGTGTGTAACACTCCAAAGCTCACATTATGATTCACACCGTTACTAGTCCTCCTCCCAGGGTGCTCATGTAAAAGCCACACACATAATGGCACCTACCAGAGTTACTGTCTAAGCCCACAGGTTTCCCCCGTGCACAAGCCTTCTATCCCTCACGTGGACAAAGGGAGAGTAAGTTTAACCTTTATTTAGCACTAACCAATTGCCAGGTCTAGTTTTCTAAGCCCTTGATATATATCAACTCATTAAAATTCAAAACACCCCACAAGGTGGATTCCATTACTGTGTCCACCGGGTCCGTGCAACTTGGCCAAAGCCACAGAGCTTATAAGTAGTGGAGTTGGGATTGGAACCCCGAACCCAAGGAACTGGCTTCCACTCTAACTGCAAGGCCAGAAAAGCCAGAAACCCAGAGTGAGGCCCCCACTTCCCGTCAGAACATCCGGAGAACAGACTGGGAGCTGGAAGGAGGTCCTTCCTTAGCCACCAGCTGGCTCCTTCTGTGGAGGAAGAAGCCTGCCACCAAGAGGATTAGGAGCCCAGCTGCCTGGGAGGTGGGGCACCCGCCCCACCTCCGTTCTTCTTCCCACTCCCTGTTCCCTCTGTCAGGGCCCCCAGCTCAGGGAGGCCCGCCCACCCCCACCCTCTGGGCAGGAAGACAAACAGGGCTGGAACAGAACAGTACAGGACGGAATGTCCTCTGGGCAGGCAGGACTGAGGCCCCTGCCCCCCACCCTCAGCAGCCAAGAGGGAGGGGATGGGGACCATATCTCACCCCCTCCAACCCTTGACCTAGCCTGCCCCCTTCTGTGCCTCCCACTCTCTTGAACTGAGTGCTTTTCTTCCCTCTGCAACCAGACAAGAAATCTCCTCTGCACCCCTCATGCTAGGGGGTGGGGTTGATGCCACCCCAGAAATGACCTCAGCTCCCCTGAATTTAGGAAGGGACAGCCTCCCCTCCTAGATATTCTGCTTCATTGGGGGTGAGGTGGGGGATCACAAGAGGGGATCAGAGAAAAGACTGAAGATTTTGGAACCTCAGTGTTGGGGTTAAAATCCCAGCTCAGCCAGGTACTGGCCTTCTGACTTCTTGGGCAAAGGACTTCACCTCGCAGAGATTCAGTTTTCCCTTCAAACAATGGAAGTCTAAAAGCTTCCCTCTAGAGGTCTCCTGAGGATGGCATGAGTGCACCCAGCAGAATACCTGCAGCGTCGGACCCATAATGCTTAGCAATTGATGGCTGCTTATTAGGAATGGTTTTTGCCAATATTATAAATGTACATAAGACTACATATATAAGAAGCAAGAGACCCTTTAATTTTTTATTCAAAAGCCAAACTACAGCTTCAGATAGACATGGAGTTTGAATTCAAAGATGGTGGCAGAAACAGGATGAAACACTTTAAAACTTGGACATAAATCCAGGACCATAAAACAGAGAAATCTTAGGAGAGCAGGCAGACCGGTGTTCAACCCCTGGCCTCACATCAGCAGCAAGTGCTGCACCTCGCTGCTTTGTTTCCTGGTCTGTTCAATGGGGATAATGGATTTGCTTCCTTGAGAGTTGTCTGGGCATTACGTGGGTTTCCCACTTGGCACGGGTACTGATATAGGAAAACCCGATACGTGGCAGATGTTTCCAACAAAACAGCATTCATCCCCCCAACCCAGCCCCACTCGCAAAATTCAGGTATTTGAAGTTGATTAAAAGGTAGAGGGTGAAGAGCTATCTGCTGGGTAAAAGCCGGGGCTGGTTTGCTGTGTCACCCTGGCGGGCGGCCCCTTAGGGCCCCTATTGGTGCCTCCTTAGACTTTGAGATATCTCTGCTCCAAGATTCTGAGGACTCAGCTCACTGAGGAGGGGAAAGGGCAGTGCAGGGGGCTCCCGGAGGCTGAAGGGCAGGGGACCTGGGAAGCTCCAGCCATCTTCAAGCTCCCTCCCTCTTCTGGCCCCCGGCCAGCTCAGCCATCCCCCTCCCATCAGGAGGCCTCTCTGTCCCCCGGGCGTCCCCGGCTCGGGAAATAAACTGCATAGAAGTCAGGGAGGGGACAGAGCGGTCCGAGGCATGCCACAGAGAGGAGCGAGGCGCCAGGAGGGCAGCATGGTTTGGCACCAGGACAGGTAAAACCCAGGGCTAGGAGGGCTCAGATTGTAACATTCCAGACCACAGGACGCCACACAGCGAGGCCGATGAGCCCGGGCTCCAAACGCCCCATTTGCTGGTACCATCCATCTCTTTCCCTTCCCGGAACTCCGCCAGTGAACGCTGCCCACGCCCGCAGGTCCAGCACCGAGCTGCGCAAGGAGAAGTCCCGGGATGCGGCCCGCAGCCGGCGCAGCCAGGAGACCGAGGTGCTGTACCAGCTGGCACACACGCTGCCCTTCGCGCGCGGCGTCAGCGCCCACCTGGACAAAGCCTCCATCATGCGCCTCACGATCAGCTACCTGCGCATGCACCGCCTCTGTGCCGCAGGTGAGCCCCGCCCCTGGAATTCCAGCCCCCGGGAGGCTCCTCCTCCGGGAAGCCTGAGCCCGAGAGGCCACGCCCCCTGGGTGGAGTTTTCCCGGTGGAGCCCCACCTCCCTGGAATCCGCTCTTCGGGCGAGGCCCCGCCTCTTCAAGTGCAGGGCCAGTCGGAGCCCAGTGCTCCTGGAAGTCCCACCCCTTTAGTAGTCTATCATTCTCAAGGCCCCGCCCCCTAGATGCGCTCTTGAAAAGCCCCGCCTCCTTAGAACTCAAAGCGAGGGCCCTAGCCGCCTGAGGCCCCTCAACCTTTAGATTTGGTGCCTTGAGGAGACTTTCCTGGATGCTCTACTGCCCAGCTTTAATTCCTTGAGAGTTCCTCTTCCCGCCCATCCGGTTGTATAGCTTGTTCCCTTAGCCATTCCCTTGAATTTCCACCCAATTAGAATTCCACTCTGCAGGATTCCCCCGCACCCCCACTCCCACGCGCACCTGGACTCCCAGGACCTTGGAAAGGTTTTATTATGGAGGAAATCGAATTACTCTCAGGCAGGCTCTGCCCCACAGCATTTTACTTCTTTGGGAGACTGCGCCCTTAGAATTCTGTCCCCTGGGAGTCTCTGCTTCTTTATGATTCTGCCCATCTGGAAGGTCCTGTTCTCCAAGAATTCTGGGAAGCTAGAAGTCTGACGCCCCTAGGTCCTGGCCCTCTTGAATTTGGACCCCTGGTGTTGCATCTTCTTAGGGGTCTGCCTTCCTAGGAGTCACACTCCCTTAGAATTCTGTCTCCTGAAAGGCCCTGCTCCCAATTCCAATGCTTGGGACTCCAAACCACTAGGATGTACCCCCACCCACCTGGACATACCTGTAAGTTCCTCTCAGTGAGGAAAGGAGAGGGAGGCTGGCTGCAGTGGGCCCAGGACTGACTGACCCTCCCACCCCCCGCCCCGGGCACCAGGGGAGTGGAACCAGGTGGGAGCAGGGGGAGAGCCACTGGATGCCTGCTACCTGAAGGCCCTGGAGGGCTTCGTCATGGTGCTCACCGCCGAGGGAGACATGGCTTACCTGTCGGAAAATGTCAGCAAACACCTGGGCCTCAGTCAGGTGAGCTGCCTGCTCCGTGCCTGGCCCTGAGCTGGTGACCACACAGCCTTGGCCTTGCCTTTACGGGACTCACAGGACAGAGGGGATATAGGTGTGTCACCAGACAGCAAGACAGAATAGTCAGGGCTGAGATGGGACAGCCTAGGACTGGGGTAGAGGGTACCTGACCAAGCCTGGGGGGTGGGTACTGGGGACTCCTGGAGAAAAGGACATCCAAGCTGAAACCTGAAGGACCTGGCCAGCTGAGGTGTGTGAAGTGGGTGGGACCAGCGAAGACCAGGATGGCATGAGCAACCAAAACGTGCCAGGGGACCAGAGGGGAGAGAAGCAGAGCACTGTGGGAAGATGGAGAAGTTCACCCGGCCGGAGCAGGGCGCCGTGGAAGAAGATGGGAGAGAAGGCTGAGAGATGAGCAAGGGCAGGACAGTGTAGGGCCAAGTTAGAAGGTTTGTGTCCAGGGCACTGGGGAGCCATGGAATGATTGGAAGCAGGGGAGAGGGTGTGCCAGAGGGGTAGAATCCGATTCACACTTTAGAAAGAAAGAGTCCTCCTGGGGATAGAGTTGGAGGGAGAGTAAGTAGAGTTTGGGAGATCAGCAAGGGATCACAGGTGGGAGAAGAGGGCAGGGCCCATGGGGGTGGGCAACTGGAGACATTTAGAAAACAGAGCTGGTTAATAGTCTCCACAGCAAGCCCCATGTGGGGATTCCTGTTATTTTTTCTATTTCACATACATGGACTCCACAGTCGCCTTCTGTTCCTTTCCCCTGCCTCATTACCTGACTCTGGGTACCAGTTCCTCTGTTGGTGTGAACTCTTGGACTCAGAGAGGCGAATGTCCCAAGGTCCCCAAGCTAGGAAGGGGCAGAGTCATGCTTCCAATTTCCAAGAGGTAGTGTCAGAAGAGTGAGATGACATTCTGCCACCACCAGGTTGGGAGCCCCTGTGGGTCCCCATCCATCTGTCCCTTCTCCCAGCACTAGGCTCATTTCCTAGACTGAAGCAAGCAGCTGGGTCTCCTGCCTAGCAGGCATGGTTCACCTCAGGGCCTTTGCTCATGCCGCTTTCCTTCTTAGAACACGCTCACCCCAGGGCCACAAGACCACCTCACTTGATTTGTTCAACAATTTTTTTTTTTTTTAATGTCAAAGAAACTCTCAAGAGGCCACTCTTTCTAAAACAGCCTCCCATCATTACGTCACTTTCCCCAGCCTTGGTTGCCTTCCTGGTGTTTATCATATCGTTGTGAAATGTTGTTTTACTTGGTTTCTTTACTGTCTGTCTCCCCAGACTAGCCGGTAGGCTCTGCAAGGCAGGGCTCTGTATGTGGGGTCACCCCCACCTGGAGGGCCTGGCAAGCAGTGGGTGCTGAATAAATGATAATGAAGGAGACAGAGGAGCACCCCAGGCTGGAACTGGGGCAGGGCTGAGGGAGAGAAGAGGTAAAGGGCCAGGGCCCCCCTGAGGCGGCCCTTCCTCCAACCCCTGCTCTGCCCTCTCTGGCAGCTGGAGCTCATCGGACACAGTGTTTTCGATTTCATCCATCCCTGCGACCAAGAGGAGCTCCAGGATGCCCTGACCCCCAGCCCAAGTGAGTGCCCTGGAGGCCCCTGTCCCCACTCTACAGGAGAGCAAGCTGAGGTCACCCCACCTCACCCCACCCCGGCGCACCCCCTCTTCCTCTGGACCACCGGATTGGCATAAGTGAAGAGGAGAAATGGCCCCTGCCTGGCTCTGAGGGACACACCCTTCCCGTGGACGATCACTCTGCGCGTCAGGGATGGGGCACCTTTAGCAGCCAAGGTGCTGGAGGGCGCTGGGCCCTCTGCAGCTGCGGGTGACCTGCCCGCCATCCCCTTGCCTCCCCAGGCCTGTCCAAGAAGAAGCCCGAGGCCCCCACGGAGCGGCGCTTCTCCTTGCGCATGAAGAGCACCCTCACCAGCAGGGGGCGCACCCTCAACCTCAAGGCAGCCACCTGGAAGGTGGGCGGGGCCTGGGCCTGCGGGGGCGGGGCCTGAGCCTGCGGGGGCGGGGTCTGGGCCCCTGGAGGTCTGGGGAGGTTGGGAGTCGCGGTGTCCTAGGCCAGGATTTTGCGGGGCTCCTCGAAGCTGGGCCCAGGGGAACTTTAGGGCATTTAGGAATTGGGTGTCCGTGAGGTGGAGGATCTAGGGTCCTTGTCACCTTTCTCAGGCTGGATCTCTATGGACTTGAACTTAAGAGTCCCTGTGGGGCTGGAACCTGGGTCCTCGGAGCTCTCTGAGGTGACTCTCTGAAGTCAGGAATTCTGCTGTTCCTGGTGGGGCCTGCGGGGACTGGCCTCCCAGCCCCGTGGGTCACCCAGGACCCACACGGGACCCACCGCCCCCTCTCCCGGCCCAGGTGCTGCACTGCTCCGGACATATGAGGGTCTACAAGCCCCCCGCACAGCCTTCCCCCGCCGGGAGCCCCGGCTCCGAGCCCCCGCTGCAGTGCCTGGTGCTCATCTGTGAAGCCATCCCCCACCCAGGCAGCCTGGAGCCCCCGCTGGGCCGGGGGGCCTTCCTCAGTCGCCACAGCCTGGACATGAAGTTCACCTACTGCGACGAGAGGTGGGCAGTGCCCAGCGACCCGCCCCGACCCGCCCCGACCCGCCCCACGCTCTGGTTCTGTTTGCAGTTCCCTCTGCGTCCTCAGTGTCTACCTGTCTGAATCTCTGTGGGCCTTTTGACCTTTCATTCCTTTTCTCTCTTCGTGTCTTTTCTTACCGTCTCCCTCTCTGTCCCTCTGTCCCTCTGTTGCTTCTCTCAAATGAGTCAGTTTATGTGGAGCAGTTAGCACCTTCCCCCCCCCCCCCACAGCAGGACGCGCTCCATAAACTCTCATGATTCTTCTTTTTCTGCCCTTTCTTTCTCCCTCTCTTTCTCCCTCTCTCTCCTCTGTCCTTCTTTCCCATCCTTCCTCCATTTTCCATCTTTCCCTCACTGTGGAGTCATGCTCAGGAACATTGACTTGGGGCTCAGATTTGCTTGAGTTTCCACCTGGCTGTGTGTCCTTGGCCAAATGTCTTCACCTCTCTGTGCCATAGTTCTCCCAACTGTTCTGTGGGAGAATAATGGTGCCTACTTTGTGGAGTTACCCTGAGCACTCAAGTGCATTGCTCAGCGCAGAACACGAGAGTCTCATTTTTCATCATTATCATCATTATTTCTTTTTATTCCTTCTGTTTTTTCTTTGCAATTTCTTTCTTCTCTTCTCTTCCTCTGTTTCACTTTTTTTCCCTCTCTTTGCTTTTTTACTCTCCCTTTCCACTTATATCACGTGTTTTGATTTGCTTTTGATGCTGGGCATGGAACCCAGGGGCACTTTACCACGGAGCCACTTCCCTAGCCCCTTCTGTTTTTATGTTGAGATGGGTTCTTGCTGTTGCTAAGCCTGGCCTCTGACTTGGCCATCCTCCTTTCTCAGCCTCCCAGGTGTGCACCACCACACCGGGCTCGTGTTGGGTTTTTATTGCTGCTTTCCACAAACTCAGTGGCTCAAAATCACATCAATTCCCTGGCCCTCTGTTCTGGAGATCAGGAATTTGAAATGAGTCTGACAAGTCTAAAATTGAGGGCTGGTTCCTGCTGAGGCTAGGGAAGAACCTGTTGCCCTGCCTCCCCAGCTGCTCGAGGCCACCGTGTCCCTTGGCTCCTGACCCCTTATCCCATTCAGTCCCTATTCATCACCAAACTGCCTGCCCCCTTCTACCAAGAACCCCTTGATGCTGTTGGGTCCCCCTGGATAACCCGGGGTCCTGCCCGCCCTCGGTTCTCACCTTCATTCTGTCTCAAACGCCCTTTGCTGTGCAGGGTACCATGCTCACAGGTTCTGAGAGCTGGAACGCGGAGACTTGGGGGGCTGCTATTTACCCACAACCCTCCTACACTCGCTTTTCCTGTTTCCTTCTCTCTGCCTTCCTGTTCCAACCCTGTCTCTCCCCTTGCTGGTTTTGTCCCTGTGTCCCCACCTCTTCCTCCCGCCCCCCCTCTGCCCCAGCCCTGAGCCCTGACCCTCCACTGCACCCCAGGATCGCAGAGGTCGCTGGCTATAGCCCCGAGGACCTCATCGGCTGTTCTGCCTACGAGTACATCCACGCCCTGGATTCCGACGCCGTCAGCAGGAGCATCCACACCTGTATGTGACCCAAGTCCCCGCCTGGAGCCAGCTGCCACATGGCCCCCCATCAATGCCGTCCCCAGCTCCCCACACCCCAGGGAGCTCTCCCCACCCACCCAACTCCTGCTCCCCAAGCACCAGGCCACCCCACCCCCCCGGCCCCGCCCACGTCCTACCCCAGACCCCGGAGCCTCCTGTCCCCTTCTGTGGCCCTGACCTCCCTCCACCCTGTCCCCAGTGCTGAGCAAGGGCCAGGCAGTAACGGGGCAGTATCGCTTCCTGGCCCGGAGCGGTGGCTACCTGTGGACCCAGACCCAGGCCACGGTGGTGTCAGGGGGCCGGGGCCCCCAGTCAGAGAGCATCGTCTGCGTCCACTTCCTGATCAGGTGAGCGGGGCCATGCCGAGGCTGTGCGCCGGGTCTTGTCCGTGTGCATGGACAGGTGTGTGTGCGTGTTGCACGTGAGTATACGTGAGGCCCTGGGCATATGTCCATGCATGTGGCTGTACGTGCACACGCGTGTGCGTCTAGATCGTGTAAGTGGAAAGGAACTCTAAGTTACATTCATAAGTGCGGCCGAGACACAGGGTCTTTTTAAAAATTAAAGTTCGTGCTCAGAGCACCTTCGCACTTTGATACACGGTTCTGTGCATTTTGACAGATGCACGGGATGACAAAGCCCTGATGTGTCAGCTGCCTCCGCGTCTCATCCCCAGAATGCTTTCAGGGTCTGTCCTCTGACCCTAGAGGGTTTTGTTTCCTTTTTGGCCCTGGGGATTGAACCCAGGGGCTCTCACCCACTGAGCCACACCCCAGCCCTGTTTTATATTTCATTTAGAGGCAGGGTCTCTCTAAGTTGCTGAGGCTGGCTTTGAACTCGCGTTCCTCCTGCCTCAGCCTCTTGAGCTGCTGGGATTACAGGCCTGCACCACTGTGCCTGGCTTGGTTTGGTTTTAATTTTAGTTATCCCTAATGGGTCTGCAGTGGTAAAATCACAGGGTCCCAATCCCACCCCTGTCACGCACCTTAGAGTTTTGTCACCATTGAGAAATGCAGGAGTGTCAAGGACAGCGTATGATCACAAGACAGAGTCAGAGGTGTGGCCAGTGGCAGAGCACTCCCAAGGCTCTGGACTCTATCCTCAGTACCACACGCTCAAAAAGACAGACGTACCCAGTTACAGCTTTTCCTTGAAGGTTATCTTACAGGACGTGGCATCAGTTTCCAAAACCTTAGGGGTTTTCCCAGATCTGGGAGGTATCTGAAATTCAAGTAGTTTGCATCCCACATCCCTGAACTGAGAGCACCCTTTTGCAGCTCCCCAGTATCCTTAAGAGAAAGTCCAAGGCCCTTTGGGACTCCCGCCTCTCTCCCCTTCTCACTCACCAGCCAAACCTCAGGACCTTTGCACATGCAGTCTCCTCCTCTCTCGGTCTTCCCCTTTCTCCTGAGTCATGCCTACTCTCCCTTTCAGTTTAAAATCAGACATCACTTCCTGAGAGACCACACAAGGTCAGGTCTCCCCATTTTCTCTCCTGATATTATAACTTGCCCCATTTACTTAGAACTATTTGTAATTCCCCTCTTGTGTTTTCAGCCAGGCATCCTTGACTGAGCTTTTAAAAATTGCAAACCCCCTTCTCTGTTTGGTACTTACCACGGTAAATATCCTATAAAAATGTGATTTGAGCCATATATGTCACTTGGAGTTTTCTGGCAGGTAAAGTTAACTTTAGGAACATATGATATTGTGCGTGTGTGTGTGTGTATGTGTGTGTGTGTGGTGTGTGTATGTGTGTGTCGCTGGGTGCTCTCGGGACGTGAGTGTGTACTTGTGCAGTTGTGTCCCTTGTGTGTTTCAGGGGGTAAGTGTGGCTCTGGTCCAGGCCACATTGAGATGTCTCCAACCCAGGACGGGTGTCAAGAGGGTGGAGAGGGGGTCAGAGCCCACGGGAAGGCCAGGTCCACCTGCCTGGCTTATGCTGATGAGATGCAAATGAGGGGTGGTCCCCAGCCCCACACCCACTGTCCCCACGATCGCCCAGCGAGCATCTGGATCGTCTCTGTAGCCAGAGACGGTGGGACGGGAGGTGCGGGGGACATCAGAAGGATGTATTTATAAACCCGTCCCCTGGAGTATGAAAAATTTCTATGAATAGAAGCTCCCTAAACAAGCGCTTATTCATAAAAACCGGGCTCTGTGAGTTCTTCATATTTGGTAATGTAAGGAAGAAGATGTTAAAAATATGCTTTTCATGGATACGTTGAGGAGAGGATGCTCATGAGTGCACATCTGTAAGGAGACTGCTTAGCTCAGGCCTCTCGCTGGCCCCCTGGGCCCGGGCTCCCCGCTGTCCCTGCACCCTCCCCCTCTGTCCCCTTGTCCCCCACCCCAGCTCCTGGCTCCTCCTCTCCACCCACCCGGCCTGCGCTAGATGCCAGCTGCTTTTTCTCTTTCCTGCCACAGAGGGAGCTTGGGAAGTGACAAATTTAACTTTCTTTTAAATGCCATCACAGGTTGAGTATCCCTTATCCAAAAGGCTTGAGACCAGAATGGGGGATGTGTTTGGTTTTGTGGACCTTGGAGTATCTGCACATGTACTTAATGGGGTATCTCGGAAACGGGACCAAATCTAAACACAAGATCCATTATGTTTCACGTGTACCTATGCACTTGGCCTGAAGGTCACTTTCACAATATTTCAAGTAGTTTGGGGTGTGACACCAAGTTTCACGGTGTAGAACTTTCCACTCATTAGGTTTAGGATCTTGGATTTTTGAATTAGGGCTACTTGGCCTGTGTTATAAAAAGCAGTCAACAAAAACCAAATCCTGATAAGAAACAAATAATCACAGGGAATTTCTTTCTGGGAGACACTCTCCGGCCCCGGGGTGCAGCTGCCTCCTGCACAGGGCGTCCGTGTCTGAAGCCTGCCTGGGCTTGGCCGAGAACCGCTCTGATCCCCACTCCCCTGTCTGCTTTGTACCCAGCCGAGTGGAAGAGACGGGTGTGGTGCTGTCCCTGGAGCAGACGGAGCAACACTCTCGCAGACCCCTGCAGGGGGGTGCCCTCTCTCAGAAGGACGCCCCTAATCCTGGGCACAGGCTTGGTATGGAGCAGAGCTGTTGTGTCCCCAGGACCCTTGGAAGAAAGCACATGGACCTTAACACGGCTCTCCCGGCCCTGTGGGACCCGTTTCCTGCCCTCCTCTCCTTCTACTCACCCTCCAGAACACACCAGCTTCTTAAGAGTTCTCAGACGTTGCTACACCCTTTTTTGCCTCAGGGCCTTTGCACTTGCAATTTTCCTTCCCAGAATGCTCTTCTCTCTCCCATCCTCCCTTTTCTATATCTGATGGTCTCAGTCTCTGTCGCCCCCTTCTTCTGTATCCTGCTGTGGCTCCCCATTGCCCACACCTTACTACTATGTGGCTTCCAGTAACCTGGGTCCCCTGAGTCTGGCCCCTCCCTCCCTCTTCCTTCTCCTGGCCCCTCATCCTGGATGGGCTTCCCTCCATGTCCATGCTTCTCTGTGGGTAGATTGCTCTTGCCCTTTCCTCTTCTCAGTGATGGCCAACTTGATCCCCAGGGACTTTAGCACCTCCTTGGGGCCTTGGGCCCATCTGAGTCACCAATCACTATTTGGGGCCCCTCCACAATCAGGGAACTGAAGTTAACCCCTGGCCCCGCAGGGGTCCTCCAGGGGTCCTGCAGGCCCTTCTCCCCATCGCTAAGGACAGTGCCATCCTGATTGGTTGTGTCCCCTGGGCTGGGCTTGGGGAGCTCTGGCCCTCGGTCCTAGATGATCACCCATGTCCTCCCCATCCTGCAGATGCCCCCGGCCCCCGCATCCTGGCCTTCCTGCACCCCCCTTCCCTGAGCGAGGCCACCCTGGCCGCTGACCCCCGCCGTTTCTGTAGCCCTGACCTCCGCCGCCTCCTGGCGCCCATCCTAGATGGAGCTTCGGGAGCTGCCACCCCCAGCACCCCGCAGGCTGCGCGGCGTCCCCAGAGCCCTCTTCCGGTAAGCAGCCCCCTCGCCTCTGGCCGGACCTTGCTGCGCCCTGGCCTGTGTCTCCGTCAGTCGTGGAGGGTGGGATGGGGTGGGCTGGGCTTCCTTTGAGACCTGGACCCCAGACTCTTCAAGTTGGGACTCGGGAATCGGCCCTCGGCCTGGGCTGGGAACCCCAGCGTGTCTGAACTGGCACAAGCAATGGTCCCGCCGTGGCCAAGCACCAGGCGCTCTGAGTGTCGCCTCGAAGAGTCGAGAATGTCTAAGAGCTTGACTTGCAGAGTCCCGGGTTCAAATCCAGAACCTGCTCCTTACGCGCTGTGTTCCTGGGGCCAGTGAGCTCCTGCGGCCTCGGTTTCTTCTCCTGCATGACGGGAGACCAGAACAGGGGCCACGTGTTGGTCACTGTGGGTTAAATGAGAGTGTTCCTGGGGAGCACCTGGTAGGGGCCAGCCACCTCCCGGGTGCGCGGTAGACCCTGGCGGCTGCCCCCTTCACTGGCCTGCGCACAGCCCGGCCTGGATCCCAGCGGGTCGAGATTATCTGCTGAGGACCCTGCCCGGCGGCCACTGGTAACCAGGACGAGGCGCTGGGATGCCAGGCCCCTGGAGCTGAGGCCTGGGGGTGTTGGCCTCGGCTGTCCTGGCCCTCCCGTCTGCCTGGCCATCCCCGTGCGCTCGGGCGCTCTGCGTTCCCACACCAGGATGGATTCACTTACGTTTGTTACCCGACCACCTTGGGGCTCCGCCGTCTCACACTTGACCCTCACTGCTACCCTGACCCCCAGATTGTCCGTGTTGTCACTTCCTCAAGTCCCTGCTCTGTCCCCCACAGGCTGATCTCCCAGGTGAACCACCTGTGGGCGTGGAGAATGCGCGCAGGCTCTTCCCCAGCGGGAGAATCCTCGGGGCAGCGGAGACGGAGCTGGCCGCAGCTCAGGTGAGGGCGGGCGTGGCAGGAGCTCTTCACCTCTGTGCTCTGGGGACTGACATTTCTGGATTTAGGGACGAGTGGATGGACAGATGGACCATGGTGTTCGTCAGGTGGATGACAGAGATGGATGCATGAAGTTCAGGCAGATATCTGGATGGATGGATGGACAGATGGACAGACGGATCACTGTATCCATTAGGTGGGTGACGCTGGATGGGTGGTGTTTCGTCAGGTATTTGGAAGGATGGACAGATGGATGTTTGGTTGGATAGCTGCATAGATGGACCATTGTCGTTGACTGGGTGACAATGGACAGATGACATTTGAAGGGGTGCTTGATTGAACAGGTCCATCAGGTGACTGGGGGACATGGTGCACAGCCACCTATTGCTATATAACAAATGACCCAAAACTCATCACCATAAAACAATCGTCATTTATCATGTCTCGCGGTTTCTGAGAACCAGGACCTCGGGAGACGCTTGGCTGGGTGACTTAGGTCTCCCGAGAGGCTGAAGTCGGGCTCTTAGGTGGCACTACCTGGGGCGAGAGGATTTGTCCCCAGGTTCTTGCACGTGGTGCAGACGGGCCCCAGCACCTCCCTGGCTTTGGCTGGAGGCCTCAGTTTGTCACTACGCGGGCTGCAGAACTGTCCTCAGAGCATGGCAGCTGGCTCAAGGCACGCAATCCAACCAGGAGACAGACAGACAGAAAGGGAGACAGGGAGACAGGAGGAGAAGCCAAACAGAAGGTGGTGTCTCTCATGACCTGTTCTCAGATCTGACACGCAGCACTCCTGCTGTCATCGTGGTCATGCAGAACCCACCCCCTACAGCGTGGCAGGCAGCTACGCAGAGTGTGTGCACCATGTGCACCACTGGGGACGCCCCCCCCATGACTCAGGCCGCGCCCGCCCCCTCCCAAGGCCCGCCAAGGTCCCTTCCCATTGTGCAGAACCCGGAGCTCCTCGGGTCAGCCCCTGTTGGCCTGTGAGCTGCACACCGGGCACGTGGAGGTGGGACAGGCACAGAACTGCCACAGGCACTCCTATTCAAAAAACGGGGAGAGAGGAAGCATTCAGGGTCCGAGTCCATAGTGGTTTGTAATTGATCTGGCGGATCTCAGGAGTCCTACATGGGGACTCCTGTGCCCGATTGATTCCCAGGGGTTTTCTCCATGGCTCTAGATGCCACCCTCTGAGCTACTGGTCCCTCACCCCGAGTCACTGCCCCTTTCTCATAAAAGGTAACGTGTAGCCAGGCGCAAGGGCACACACCTGTAATTCCAGCAACTCAAGTGGTTGAGTCAAGTTCAAGGCCAGCCTGGGCCACTGAGCGAGACCCTGTCTCAAAACAAAATAAAAAAAAGGGCTGGGGATGTGGCTCAGTGGCTAAGCAATCCCCCTACGGCGTGGGGGGATTTTTTTTTTTTTTTTTTGGATTGGTTCAATCCCCAATCTAAAAAAAGAAAAAAAAGTGACATGGATTCACAACTCAGAAGCTTTTTTTTTGGTGCTGGGGATCGAGCCCAGGCAAGCGCTCTACCAACCGAGCTATCCCAGCCCCCTCAGGAGCTTTTCAACCTGCTTCTCTGTCTAGAATTTGGATGGTCCAGAAATACTTGCTCTATTTTATGGAATGAAGTGTTGCCAAATTCAAGAATTGAAAATGAAGCCAATTCAGATTTTTAAACAAAAAGAAAAAGGAAGAACATTGGTGATCCAAAGGGCTCTTTTCTTTTAGTACCATCCGTGTTTCTTTCTTCACCCCCAGCAACCCCACCACTGGGGTGAACCCAGGGTGCTGTCTCACCGAGCAGCTGTACTTCCGGCCCCTTTCTATTTTTTATTTTGAGACAGGGTCTCACTAAGTTGCTGAGGCTGGCCTCCAACTTGTGATCCTCCTGCCTCAGCCTCTCGAGTCACTGGGATTATAGGCATGTGCCACCACACCCAGCTCTACCCAGGACTTCTGACAGCAGTTGCAAGTTTAGGGGTCCCCAGGGCCACTCTCACTTCTGACCGGCAGGCTTCCCATCCTAGTATTCAGGGAGGTACTTGACAGTCCTGTGTCACTTCATGACAGGGAGACTCTGAGGAACGCAGCCTTAGGCCATGTCATCTTGTGGTGCAGCCAGCCACACACCTAAGCTCCAAAGTGTACTCTCCACACATGGCCTCGGGCTTCTAGGGCCATGAAGAGCAGGCAGCGGAGATTAAATCAAGCCCAAGAGGATGTGATCGACACACTCTGTGAACCGCAGTGTGTGTGAGGCTGCTGCGGGTGTAACGTGGCATCCGTACTGTCACACGGCAAGCTTTATTTATGTATCAATCTGTCTGTTTACTTAGGGGAGGGTTTGCTCTGTGGCCCAGGCTGGCCTCCAATTCCTGGGCTCACGCGGTCATCCTGCTTCAGCCTCCCGAGTGGCTGGGACTCTGGGTGAGCACCGCCCCTGGCTCAGCCAACTCTTCTCAGACGTCCAAGGAACATGCTCTAAAATAACCCTAAAGGCACAGTGGGCTGATGACGTAGGCCAGCAGCACAGGTGTCCGTCACCACCGTCCAGTACCTCGTACTGGACACAACCGGGGGTGCTCAGCTTCTGTGTGACCAGGAACACAGTGGCTTTGTTTCTACCAGCGTCACCACAGACCTGGCCACTCACAGCACTATGACCTTACAACAGCTATAGCGTCACTAGGTGGGAGGAACTTTCAACTCCGCTATGACCTTATGGAGTCGCGTCCATATGCAGGCCATCGTTGACCAGGACATCATTATGTAGCACAGGCCTGTGCTCACTGTGGGGTTTGGGGGTGTTCTTATTATTTGTTGTTGTTGTTTTGGTGCCAGGGATTGAACCCAGGGGCACTTAACCCTGAGCCACATCCTCAGCCTTTTTAGTTTTAATTTTGAGACAGGGTCTCACTAAGTTACTTAGGGCCTCGCTAAATTGCTGAGGCTGGCCTTGAACTTGAGATCCTCCTGCCTCAGCCTCCTGAACTGCTGGATTACAGGCCTGCACCACCGCATCTGGCAACAACTGTAGTTATTATAGCGAAAGAATACAAATCAGAAGCAAAGGAAGAGATGCTGGAGGTGGCATCTGGGCTGGAGGGGTCTCCAGTGGGAAGTTTTCTTGTCTTTAGGGACACGTTACCCTTCTGGCAACGTGCATGTGGAGTCTTGCTGGCCCAGAAAGTTCACCCAGGGGTCTTAACGGAGGCTTAGCTAGGCAGGACTGACGGAGTCATCGCCCCCGTGATTGATTGGAGTTTCCAGGGCTGCCCCCGCCTTCCCTGGGGGTCAGGCTGATTCCGTGTGGCCCAAAGCCCCAACCCTTGAGTGACATGTTGGTCTTTCTCTCAGGGTCATCTCATCAGCATAGACTCTCACGAGTCACCTGTCTGTAGAACCATCAGGCACACTCCAAGGGCCGATGGCGAACAGCAGATGCAGCTACCCCTTGGGGTTCCAGGGGTTTTCTGATCTCCCAGGCAAGACTTCACTTAGAAGAAAATTCATTCTATTTTTTAATTTTTTATGCAGTGCTGGGGATGGAACCCGGGGCCCCATGCATGCTAGGCAAGTGCTCCACCACCGAGCCCCAAGCCCAGCCCAAAGTTAATTCTTCAGCACACAGAGAGGAGGAGAATGCCCAAATCCATACACGATTTTCAAATTTGTATTTGAGAATCCCAGTTCCTTCATGGCGACATTTCCTCCTCTAGCTTCTCCGTCTGCTCCTGCCTTTTACCGGGAGGGATGGGAAGCACTCAGGTGGCCCCCGACACTGGCTGCAGCCTCCTCGGCTGGTCCCCAGCTCCATTTCCTCCTTTCCGTGTGGCTCTCTGCCCCGCTTCCTGTCCCCTGCGCCTCCCTTCCTCCTCAGCCCGCACCCAGCTGAGCAGGGTTCAGGTTGTGACGGATGCTTTTTTCAAAACTGTGTTAGGTTTTTGGTCACCGTGACCAAAACATCTGAAAGAACAACTTAGAGGAGGGTTTGACTCGCAGTTCAAAGGTCTTCGTCCAGGTCAGTGATGCTACTGCAGAGACAAGAGGTGGAAGGACCTGGCGGAGGAGAGCCGCCCAGCCCATGGCAGCTGGGAATTGGGGAGAGAGCGAGAGGGAGCGGGGCCCTGGGAGAGGTCACCCCCCAGGCACGCCCCAGCGACGTGCTCCTGCAGCCAGGTCTCCGCGGCTCCATTCAGCTACTGTGAACTAAGCTACTGAGGATCCATTATGAGTGAATCCGTTCTCGGTGGATTAATCCACTGGGGAGGTCAGAGCCCCTAGAGCCGGTCAGTGCCTGAAAACCCCTCCCCTGACTTGCCACATGAGGTCCATGCTGTCAACGCATGGACTCTGGGGGACGTCCCAGGTCTGAGAGTAGTTAACACGGCAGCGACAGACTTCTCAACCTGCTCCACAGTCCTGCTGACCCCTGCCCAGTTCCAAAGCCACTCCTATAGTTTAGATTTGGGTTAATGGCAGCACCCCACCAAGAGGTTCAAACACTGAGTATTTGTAACTTCACCTGATTCCCGAGGGTCACGGTCTGGGAGCCATTTAGCTGGTGGCTTCTGCTGAGGTCTCTTGGAAAGCTTGGCAAGGCCTAGAGGATTCACTTCCAAGGTCACTCGCTGGGCTGTGGGCAAAGGTCTTAGTTCCTTAGTTCCTTGGTGGGTTGGGGGGTCTCTCCGTGGAGCTGGTCAGAAAGTGATGGGAGAGAGAGATGGACAGCCCCATGCCTTTTATAACCCAGTGTGGAAGTCACAGAAGACCGTCTCCTGTTGTGACCAGGTCAGCCTCAGTCACTGGGCACCAGCTAGGGTGGGAATCCCAAGAGAGGAGGATCTTGGAGGGCCATCTTGTGCTTGACCACCACTTAGTCCTTATACCCATTTCACAGATGCAGAATCTGAATCTCCGACTCCTGGCCTCGACCATGCACCTTGGAGGCGGTGGAGCTGGGACTCCGTCCCAGGTCCTCTAAAGTCCGAGGCTTGAGCTCCTAACTCCCTACCCCTGCCCGTCCCCTGCAGGACGCCGATGCTCTGGACTTGGAGATGCTGGCCCCTTACATCTCCATGGACGACGACTTCCAGCTCAGCGCCAGCCAGCAGCCTCCCAGCGCCTACCACAGACCCCGAGGGGCTGTGCGCCGGCCCCGCGCGCGGAGCTTCCACGGCCTGTCGCCCCTGACCCCCGAGTCCTCCCTGCTGCCCCGCTGGGGGAGTGACCCCCGTCTGAACTGCTCCAGCCCCTCCAGAGGGGACCCCTCAGCATCCGGCCCCACGGCTGGGGCTCGGAAGAGGTGAGCCAGAGTAAAGGAGGCGGGAGTAAAGGTGGACGGTCCCTGTCCCTGCCTTGCCCTGCCCCCTCCTTCCGCCTTTCCCACAACAGTCATCCCCCTGCCCCAGCCCTTCTCCGGCCAGGGCTTCACTGTCCCCAGCACAAGTGAAGTTTGTTCCAAACTCTCTGCCTTTTCCTAAGCTGTCACCTCTGGAGCACCCTCTGCGACGCTCACTGCCAACCCCAACCCCACCTCAGCCAGGATTACTCCTTCGGAACATAATCTCCAACTCGGTGACAGTTTCTCTCACAGTAACAGGTGGTGCACACCTGTGATCCCAGCAGCTTGGGAGACTGAGGCAGGAGGATCTCAAGTTGGAGGCCAGCCTTAGCAAATTATCGAGGCCCTAAGCAACTTAGTGGGACCCTGCCTCAAAAGGCCTGGGGTCGTGTAGCTCAGTGGTGAAGCACCACCGGGTTCATCCGCGGGGCAGGGAGGCGTTGCTGCGGTAGCCAGCAGTGCCTAGAACTGTCTCCCAACACCTGTGGGAGCTGGTGAGGTGACCTGTGTGTGTGGTGCTGGGGGGAACCGCATCCCCAGCCCCAGAACCTGTTGAAAGCTGTAGACTCCCTTCCTAAGAAAATGTACACCCACACAAAATGTTGTCGGTCCCCCTCCAATGATCTTAGATTACTAGTCTCCGCTGTCCAAGTGGCAGCCGTTGCCTGTTTGGTCTCCAGAGAGGTCCCTTTTCTATCCTTGTGAGACTTTTATGGATACATCTCCATGTTGCCCAAGGCTCCCAGCTTGGGGTTGGTTATACAGCAGGTGCCTAATAAAGACTTATTAAATGAAAGAAGGGGGGAATTAATGAGCATGTGGGTAGGTGGACAGATGGACAAGTGGGTGGGTGGATGCGGGTGGGGACAATGGCGAGGAGTTGGCCGGGTGGGCAGCTGATGGGTCGCTGGGCCGGTGCGTGGCATGAGTTTGGGGGCACAGGTGCAGCCCCTGCCCCGGGTCTGTTGTGTTCTGAGTCTTGCCTGTTGTTCCCCAGGGCCCTGGCCCACAGCCCAGTGGACGAGGGGGTGGAGCTGCTGGGAGTGAGACCCCCCAAGCGGCCCCCCAGCCTAGAGCCCGAAAGCTTCCTGCTGCCTCCCCTCAGCCTGGTATGTTTGGGGCTGGTGGGGTTCCCCGCCTCGGAGCCAGCAGGCTCAAACCTCCTGTTTTATAGATGGGCAAACCAGAGAGGGCCAGGGGCCGGCTGAAGGTCAAACGCAAGATCAACGGTCCCGCTGAACCAGGACCTTGATCTTCTAGTTCTGCTCATGGGTATGCGAAGGCATTGCCAATCCATGATTAGTGCCACGAAGAAACGTGAGCAGGGTGAGGGGAGAGGTGCGGGTGGCCAGCACCAGCAGGGGACCCTCCCAAGACAGGAACGGGCCCGGCCTTGGATTCCCAGTGTGGGGCTGAACGTATAAATCTTAGAGCCAGACTGGCTTCAGGCCCCAGATCTGCCCAAGAACTTGGGCAGGTCGTGTTACCACCCTGACCCTCAGTTTCCTCCTTTGGCAAATGGCACTGATTACATTTCACAGGATGTCGTGGGGACTCGGTGAGATCAGGCCCCCCAGATGACTGTGGGCGGTCGCTGATATATGCCCAACCCAACTAAACCAAGCAGCCTCCCCTCCAGTCTCCTTGCCTCCAGCCTCACCCTGCTGTCCATACTGCACAAAAGCAAACAGGGTGTCCTTTCTAAAAGCCAGCCTGCACTGTGTCCCTTCCACAAGGCTCCCTCCAGGACCTTCCATGGTGCCCAGAGAAGAGCTCTCTTGCCCCTTGATCTACAGAGGGCTTTTTGAACTTGAGGGGTGTGGAGGACATTATCTAGAGCTTCCATTTATTGAGTGCCTACTATGCGCAGCTGATGACTCACCATGCCTTGCATGGTTAACTTACCTAGTCCCGGGACCACTCTTGGAGTGTCGTCGTCATGATGCCCATTTGTACACATGAGGGCCAACCCCTTCCTCGTCGGAATCTAGGCAGGAAACTAACTCACAGGGGACGGCCAGGGTGCAGGGAAACCCAGCTGGTGCAGCACTAACCCTGGCCACAAGGTGACAGGAGTGACCTCTGGGTCCTGGGGAGAACAGGGAGCCTTAATAGATCTGGAACCTTCCACGGAGGGCACAGCCAACCCACAGCGACCCAGTAGGGGAGCAACTAGAGCAGTCCCCTCTCCCACCCCCACCTCCTGGCAGCTGAGCCCAGGAACCACAGCAAGGTGGACGCCGCCCACAGAGCCGCCTCCCAGGGCTGGAAGAGGGGGGAGAAGGGAGAAAATGAGGCTCTAGGGAAACAGAGGTGTCTGGGACAGTGACTTGCCCACAGTCACACAGTGACAGGTAGCCACTGGACCCCAGGAGTGGCCTTAACTACCACTGTGCCACCTGCCCCCTTGGACATCGATGGGGGTGGGGTGGTAAGGGTGGTGATGGTGGTGACGGTGGCCACTTTGTCTCTCCCTCAGAGTTTCCTTCTGACAGGAGGAGCAGCCCCGGGGAGCCAGCAGGATCCCAGCAGCCGCCTCCTGGATGTGAACGAGCCCTGGGGTGAGTTGCGACCTGGGAGTGCAGAGCCCTGGGTCCCTCTCCTGCTGGATGGGTGGCGGGGACTGTCATGGCCGGAGGTGATCTCCATGGCAGAGGCTGCCCCTTCCTCTTCTCCTGGGCCGCGGTGGCGAGGAGACCCTGAGGGGGCAGCCTTGCCCCTTGGAGTCGGAATCAGGCCGGGTCCAAGCCGGGTCCCCTGGCCACACCTGGCCTGTGGGTTGGGGAAGCTTTGGTTTGCCGTCTGTCAGGTGGGGCCTGTGGCTACGGTTCTCACCTGAAGGACAGGTTTTGAGGACTCCTGGGGACGAGTCCCAGCAGAGGGGACCCTGCCACGCAGTAAGCGCTCAGGCAGGGTCCCCTGTTGGCCTTGGTGGAGATGCTGGGCCCGCAGCCTCTCCAGGAGTGAGACACTAGTTGGTGATGCTATTATCGCTTCCCACTCCCATTAACAAAAGCCGAGCTCCAGGCTGGGGCTGGGGCTGGGGCTGGGGCGGAGCTGGGCAGAGCGCTGGCCTAGCGGGTGTGAGGCCCCGGGTTCGATTCTCAGCACCACATATGAATAAATAAAGGTCCACTGACAACTAAAAAATATTAAAAAAAAAAAAAAGGCTGAGCTTCACCTGACATCTCCAGGCATCAGCCCGAGGGGTCTTTCCAAAGCATCAATGTGGCCCTGGCTCAAAACCTGCTCAAAACCCTTCTAGAGCCTCTCAGAAAAAGAGGAAGCTTCCCACTTCGGGCTCCCATCCCTCAGGGCCTGGCAGAGCCTCGTCTCAGGCCACACCCTGCTCTGTGTCCCTCCTCGGCCACTTCCACTGTCTTCATTCTACTCTCCTCCCTCTGTTTGAACCCAGAGGTGCCCTAACAGCTGAACCACACCCTCAGCCTCTTATTTATTTATTTATTTATTTTGAGACGGGGTCTTGCTCGGCTGCCCAGACTGGCCTCCAACTTGTGCTCCTCCTGCCCAGCCGCCCAGTCCCTGGGGTTACAGGGGTGCCACCACCTCACCTGGCTTGACCGACTCTCCCTCATGCACACACAGCGGGTGCCAGCGCTGTCCCAGGTGCTAGAGAGACACTGGCTGAAGCAGGCGGAACCCCAGCCTTCCTGGCGCTGGATTTCCAGTGAGAGAGAGACCATAAGGAAGAAGTAAATGCAGTACAAAGGGAAGCGCAGCCAGGCGTGCGGCTCATCTGAAATCCCAGCGAGGCTGGGGCAGGAGGATGGCAGGTCTGAGGCCAGCCTGGCAACTGAGTTTGACCCAGTCTCAAAGTTTAAAAAGCGTAAGAGAGGAAAACGAGTGCCACTGGGGAAATATTCGTGCAGGGGAAAGAGCGTTGTGGGTGGGCCGGGGCTTAGATCAGAGCTGGCCTCACTTGAGAAGGAGAGAGTTGAGCAGAGACCTGCAGGAGTGAACCCTGAAGATTTCTGGGGGAAGAATGTCCCAGAAAAGGGAATAAGAAGTTGCAAAGGTCCCAGGTGGGAGCGTCTCTCTCTTATTTGGGGAAAAGCAGGCTGATGTGGCTGAGGCAGAGAAAGGTGAGGGGCGGATTGCATGGGGCCTCTGTAGGACACTATGACTTTAGAGTTCTCTTCCTCCAGAAGCTACCTCAGGGCCTTTGCACATCCTGGTCCCTCTGCCAGGAAGGCTCTTCCCAGCGTTCTTTGCCTAGTTACTATACCTGTAGATGAGGTAAATGTCACCCCTTCCTTGGAGCCCTGCACGGCCTCAGGAGCTCACGTCCTTGAACGCCCCTTATCACACTGGCATGTGTGTCCTTGTTTGGCCATAGGCCGTCTTTTCCCTGTGAGTCTGTGCCCACAAGGGCAGGGCCAGGGCTGTCTGTGTGCAGGGCTCGGCTGTGGCTGAGCACTCACTCTGGGCCGAGCTTTGTGCTAAGTCGCGTGTGTACGGCCACCGCCCTGGAGCATCAGCCCCAGCCGGGCAGGGAGCTTTGCTCCTCCACCAGGCATGGGCCTGGCACCTAGTAGGTGCTCAGTGAATATGTTTTGGACGAGTAGCTCTCATGCTTGAGTCCAGTATGACTATCCCCGTTTCCCAGGTAACACACATCGGTTATCGCTCACAGCACTTTATGTGGCTTTACTCGATGACACCCTGCAGCAGTCCTGGGAAGGTGTCTATTATTAGCCCATTTTATAGATGAGAGGACTGAGGCCCAGAGAGGTGAAGTCATCTGCCCCAGGTCACCCAGCAAGTAAGTAGCAACACCTGGAATCAAATCAGGACAAGATCAGGGGTCTCTTGTTTGTGCTGAGGGTCAGACCCAGGGTCTCGCTAGGCCGGAGCTGCACCACTGAGCCGCACCCCAGCCACAGAGCGCGTTTGCTGCTGCTGGAGGCCCAACGGGGCAGCCTCCCCCCTGCGCTGAACTCCCGGGAGGGAGGCAGGTCTGAGGGCTCTGCCCCTGACTCCCTGTCTCCCCACAGGCCTGGGCCCCTCGCTGCTCTCTCTCTGTCCAGGCCAGGATCCTGTCCAGCCCAGGAGCCACTTCCAGGCAGCGGCAGGATTGGCCCAGACCCGCTGAGCCGCCGCTCCCGCCTCCGCCTCCCACCGGGAAGGGACCTCAGCCACACTCCAAGCCTGCACCAGCGCAAGGAGGGGGCCTCCGTCCCGAGTGCCCCCCCAGCCTCGGGCCTACCTCAGCCCCACCCCTGGCCCACGCCGTCTGGGGCCCGGGGGTCTCGCTCAGTGACCTCTGGGGGACTCGGCCCCCTCGTCGCCTCTCAGGACTCCTGGTTACCTCACTCCCCGCGGAACTCAGGCTCACTCTGGGATCGGCTGGGAGGGCCCGGTCCGGGAGCGTCTCTTTCTGTCCTTCCTTTATTATTGTTTTGATTTCTGTGTTTTCATGATATGGTTTTTGATCACTATGAATTGCCCGGGGTCCGTAAGAATGTGGGCCTCTGATTGTCCCCGCTCCTCGGGCCTCAGCGGGTGGGAAGCTCTGGGTCAGACCTCGCGTCCAGGGACCTTGACCTCCCAAGCTGCCCCCCAGCCCTGCCGTTGACCCAGCCTCGCCGCACAATGATTCCACTCGCCGTCTTCCTACTTCAGGGGGAGCCCAGAACTTTCTCTGCTTCCAGACGGTGTAGCCTCCGGCCTCCCCTGGCCCTGGGCTGCAGCCTCCGGCCTCCCCTGGCCCTCGAGCATGGTCTGTGGTGGACCCCAACAGCCCCAGACCCCTGATTCCAGATCTCACAGCCTTTGGCTCTTTCTCGTTCTAAACTCACAACTTCCTGATGCTGCCTGTGTTGAAGCCTCCCCATCTCCAGAGAAATGTTCTGGGTCACACAACCTCCGACTCCCTCCAGCTTCAAGCCCGTGAGCACCGCTGGTTCTAGAACTCATTTCCTAACTCCCTCTTTTAGTTTTTCGTTTGGTTTCAGGCCCAGGGGATGGAACCAGGAGCACTTAACCACTGAGCCACATCCAGCCCTTTTTATTTTTTATTTAGAGACAGGGCCTTGCTAAGATGCTGAGGCTGGCTTTGAACTTGCAGTCCTCCTGCCTCAGCCTCCTAAGCCGCTGGGAGCCACCATACCCAGCCTTCCTGGGTTGTGGACCCCACGAGTGCAGGCTTCCTTGGTTCTGGTTTTTCCTGATCTGAAATACACTGGGTTCCAAATCTCGGCCTCCTCTAACTTCTAAATCATCTTAGTTCCAAACCTCGTGGACACAGCTCATTCCTCTTCGCCTCTCTACACACAAGACTCACTTTCCCCTAAGAGAAGTCAGTGAGTGTGTGTCTTGATCTGGTGCCGGCTGTCCAGAGCCAGATACCGCGTGCCAGTTTTCTCAGGTTCTAGACCTCGTGACCTCCGCCATTCACTGGTTCTAGACTGTACAACCTCTTGACCTTGCAACCGTCAGGGTCCTCTGATCCAGGATCATTGCCTGTGACCTCTCTGGTTCTAGAACGGAGCTATGCCTGTCTTCTCATTCTAGACTGCGGCCCCTGCGTTCCCTTGGTTCTAGACGGCATGTCTTCCAGCTCCGCCTCTGGATCACGTGGCTCCACATAACCCTGGGTCTAGAACTCACCTTCAAAGATCCGATTATAGGCCTTTGCCTCATAGATTTCTGTGGTTCTGGCCCTTATAATCCCACCTCCTCCTGATTCTGGATCTTAGGATTCCACAATCCCTATGTTCGGGAACTTGGTCTGGGGACATTTGCTAATTCTCTCATCACTCTATAAATTCTTGTGGTTCTAGGCTACAGCTTCCAACTGCCTCTGATTTCAGACTCAAATTCCTCAGTTTCTAGAACTCAGCCTCCATGTGCTTCTAGAATCTGATTCTAGAATCTAGCTTTGCCCCGTGGACTGCTCTGACCTCGGATCTCACAAGCCCTGACTCTCATTCCAGACCCCACCCCTACCGCGGCCCCTGAACTTGCACCAACCCACCCTGGTCTCCAGTCTTGCCTCCCAGGTCTCCACCCTCCGGGACCTCTGCTCATGAACTTCACGCTCAGGCCTCTCAGCCTCACCTCCTGAGGTCTCCCTGTCCTAGAAGCCCTCCCCTCCCTACCCAGCCCTCCAGAGAGCACTTACCTGGCTTCATCCCAGGCGCCTGGGGGCCCCCAGAGCCTTCCCCAGCCGCAGGCCTGCGCACAGCCCTGTCTGCATAGGTGGAGGGGAGGGAGGCTGGGACTCCTCAGCTCCCCACCACAGCTGTGTGCCCTCCTGTCCCCCAGCTCCCTTCACAATGGTGCTACTCTTACTCTCCACAGGAAGCCCCACACTCAGCCCCTCTCACCCCCTCTTTGGAAGGCACTGCCCACTTCTCTGTCAGGGAGTGGCCTGTCCAGACCGGTGCTATGAGGGGAAAGGATCTGACAGGTCGGACCCTCCCCTCTCAGGGGGTGACCCGAGCCCTCCATGGAGGGCTGTGTTGGGCTAGGGGAAGGGAAGAGACTCTGGAACCCACTGATGTCCCTGCAACCACATAAAGACCTCGCCTTGGTGGGCACCACAGCTCTGTGCACTGAGTCATCTGTGGGGTGGCTTCGGGGGGAGGCTGGGTGTCCGCCTCACTTTCTGATCCTGTGTGTGTGTGAAGGGGCCCGAGCTCCTCCGTGGGTCTCAATGTGTGTGCCTGGTGGTGTCATCCTCTATGCACGTGTGAATCTTGGTGACATACTTCTGTGAGCCTGTGATGGGGGTGTCATTCCTTCTACCTGTAGGTGAGTCTCTGGGGGAGATGATTCACTCTGTGTGTGTGTGTGTGTGTGTGTGTTGCTGTGTGCATGCGTGGGGCTGTTTGACACTAGTTCCAGGGACCAATGTGTGTCTGTAACATGATTCTCTGTACTCCAGTGAGCGCGTCTGCGCTCGAGAGCGACTGTGTCTGCAGATCCGTGTGTGGGAAGAAGTGTCTGTTCTGTCGCGTCTCTCTGCTGTCACCCCCATATCGCTCTCCTGTGTTCCATGTAGGAATCTTTTCAAGGGAAGGAAACCCCTTTTGAGCCTTGTACTTGCCCCCTACACCCCCCCTCGGGGTGCTTCAAATGCCTTCCTCCCCTCAGATCCTGGTTAAGGCACCCCTCCTCCAGAAAGCCTTCTCTGCCTGTCCAGCTGGACAAGGTCCTCCTAGATCCTCTACCCGCACCCCGCATTGTAGCACTAGGCACTGTCCCTTGCGATGGAGTAAATATAAAAAGTACTTAGTCTGTTTCAGTCCCTCAACCAAATACTGTGCTCATGTGATCTTATAAAACTTCCTCTAATCCTGTGTGATGGGCACCATTACTAGCCCCACTGGACCCCATCAAATGGGTTTAGAGAGGGTGAACACTTGCCCAAGGTCACACAGCCTTAACTGTGTGAATCCAGCCTGAGCTGGATTAGGGCAGAACACCCCTCCCCCAAAAAAAGAAAAGAAAAACTCAGGAACACACAAGGCTGGCTCTGGTACCTACAGTAGAGCAGAAATTAAGAGCACAGGAATTTGATGAGATGGGTTTAAATCCTGCCTGTCTCTTCTCAGTGTGACCTTGCCTAAGTAGGCTGATCCCTGCAAACCACCATGTGTCAAATGAAGATGACGTTAGCACCTACCTTCTAGGGTGACTGCTGGCGGTGGTGGGAAAGGTGGGCCAGATGATGGGACAAGAGGTTTGGGTGGGATAGATGATGCTTCCAAGTGGGGAACGACAGCAGAGCCTTAAAGGACGTGGTGCCCCCGTTTGCGCGGAGGCCCTGGGTTTGGAAAAGCTGCACAGAAGATAAAACGTGCAGGGCTCCGAGGGGGCGGGACCCGGAGAGTTTGCCTGAGGCTGGACAGTCGAGGGTCTCCAGGGTCTTCTCCTGGGGAGCGATGGAAGGCTGAGGGGTGTGGTCCAGGTTTACAGCGATTTAGGAGGCCCCCGCGGCGGCCATACCGAGGGTAAAGTGGAGGGGGGGAGAGGAAGCGACCACCGACGGGCGACGGTCACCACCAAGATTCAGCAGGATCTGGGGAGCCGAATACACAGAAGGGAACGAACACAGTGCGACAAACGAGGCTCCTTGGGGCTCGGGGTGTCCTCAGTTAACAATCAGAACCCCCGAGCCGCGAGGTTGGGACTTTGGGAAGCACCCATTTTCCGGAGGGGTCACTGAGGCACTAGGAGGGGCGGGGGGCCGGGGGCAGATTTGTTCAAGGTCACACAAGAATTGGCGGTGGCTGGACGCCCGGGTCTGGCTCCGCTGCCTGGAATGGCAGCCCCACCTGCCACCTGCTTCTGCCACCCACCCGTCAATCCGAAAGGACCGCGGGGTCCGTAAGACCCAAGAAACTTTGGCGGCCCCGGAACACGGTAACCTTGGGAGCAGGGGCCACGCCGGGCCTTTTTTCCCCGCGCGCCCCTTTCGCTTTCCTCATTGGCTCATCCTACAAGGGGCGCTGTCTGGGGACCCTCTGGTCACCTTGTCCTCCGCGCGCTCTATGGCGAGGGGGATCCTGCGCAGGCGCGCCAAGGGCGCCTTCGGGGCCCGCGCTTTACGACACTTGTGCGGCAGCGGCGGCGGTCACTCGGCGCTCCTTCGCGACGGTTCGGCCGGCCGCCGCTAGCGGCCGTTGCCAGGGTGGGGGTCGCTTTGCGGCATGGCGATGGCGGAGGGCGAGCGGACTGAGTGTGCTGAGCCCGCCCGGGATGAGCCCCCGGCTGATGGCGCTCTGAAGCGGGCAGAGGAGCTCAAGACGCAGGCCAACGACTACTTCAAAGGTGCGCCCGGCCCGGACGCGGCGAGGGAGGGTGGACAGCGGCCCAGGCCGGGGGTGCCAGGCCCGCGCGGAACCATGGCAACGCGGAGCGGCAGCCTGGGCGCGGGGCAGGCACTACCAAGTGACCCGGCGCGGGGAGGCCCGGGGTGGCGCTACCAAGGGGCGACAGAGGGGGCTCCGGGGAGAAGGGCTGCTACCCAGCGGAGGCTGCCGAGCGGGCTCTGCTGCACGGGGAGACTGAGGCGGGCGCTACCGGGCGTGGGGCGGAAGGGGGACCGGGATGTGGGCGCCACCAAAAGCGAGACCTGGAAAGAGGTGCTACCTGGTGGTGAGGCCTGATGAGGGCGCTACCAGCCAGTGACATGTGGCTGGGCAGTGATGGCGCTGCCGGGGGGAGGCTTGGGGTGGAGACCACCAAGTGTGGGGGAAGCCCAAAAAATAAGGGAATTGTGGGGGTCGGGGTGAGGTCATGAGACTGGGCGGGGGGAGCAAAAAGCAGGAGGTTTGAGGTGATCCGAGGAAAAGGGACAAGGAGGGAGGCCTTGGGAGAAGAGGTGAAGGAAGCGCTGAGAATAACATGACTTAAGATCTTGGGCAAGACTGAGACGTCGGGGCACGTGTTCATTCATTAATTTGATAGATGTTTATTGAGCACCTGTTATGTGCTCTGGACACCGCAAGGCGCTTAGGGTATAGCAGCTAATGAGACACATGTGGCCTTGCCCTGAGCTTGTAATTTAGCAGGAGTATCACATTGAGTAATTTTCTTTCAAAAGAAAACCAACAAGGTGACGAAGTAGAAAATAAAAGTTGGAGGTGTCTTTAGATAGGGTGGACAGGAAGTGCATTATAGAGAAGGAGGTGTTTAAGCTGAAAATCAGAAAGAGAATGGGAGAGGAGTATTCTGATTAGGTAGAGCAGCATGTGCTAAGGTCCTGGGGTGGGAAATGAAAGAAGGCTAGCATGATTGGAGCTTTAGCACATTGCAGGGAGAATAATACAAGATGAGGTGAGGTTGGGGCCAGATCGTGCAGGGTGTCAGAAGTCATTGCAAAGACTTGTCTGGTTTTTACTCAGCTGTCCAAGAAGAAATGGAGTAGGTAACATGGGCCAGTCAGGACTGGAGAAAAATTTAGGCGTGATCAGCTGTGGTTGGAAATGCCCTAGGAACAGATGAGGTCATCTAAGAATAGCACCTAGAGAAGACCTAGAATGGAGCACTGAGGAACTCTAATACTTAGAACGGAAGGAGGGTGTTGAGGAGTAGTTAATGAGGGAGAGGGAAGCCATGAAAGGTATCATGAAGCAAGTGCTTCTAGAAGGGGAGGCAGGTGCCTTGGGCCAGGGACTGCCCAGGGAGGCCCCAAGCACTGACCACTAGATCTGGCTCCATGGGTGTTGCTGGGGAACGATGGTGTGGAGGCCGGCCGAGGTGGCCCAGGCGAGTGGGTGGGAAGCAGGAAGTAGGGACAGCAGGTGTGGCCAGTGTTTTGAGTACTTGGTTCTGTAGGGGAGGGTGGCAGGAGGGGCGTGAGGGCCAGGAGTCTGCTGCTTCAGGTACAGTCCCGTAGAGGCACAGGATTGCTTCTGCTGGAGAGCGGGAGGCTCGCACCTGCCACGTGCTGGAGAAGATGGTGGGATGGGAAGGATCTAGAGCCCGGCATAGAGTGGGCCTCCATCCAGTGGGAAGAGAAACCGATTCAAAGTGTGGGGAAGTTTCATCAGTCGGGGGAGCAGGGCTGGTGAAGGATGAGGCTAAGCCTTGGAGGCTAGGTTGGGGAGTGTGGCCATTATCCTGAGGTGGCAGGGAGCCATGGAAGGTTTTAGGAGAGGAGCAGCCTGGTCTGATTAGTGCTGGAAGAAGATCCCCGGCTGCTGTGCAGACTGGGTGCCAAGGCAAGACTGGAGGTAGGAAAGGAGGCTGGAATGGTGGGAAGGTAAGATGCGGTGGAGCCTCTGATCAGGGTGGAAGCACGGAAACTGACTCAGGAGGTGCTTCAGAGAGGAAAGGAGAGTGGCCACCTGAGAGAGTGGGGAGGGTGCTCTAGGCAGAAAGAACCGGGTGGGAGCCGAGTGTGGTGGCCTCGCCTGTATGTATCCCAGCCCAGCAACTCAGGAGGCTGAGGCAGGAGGATTGCAAATTCAAAGCCAGCCTCAGCAACTCAGGCCTTAAGCAACTTAGCGAGACCTGGTCTCAAAATAAAAAAGGGCTGGGAATGTGGCTCAGTGGTTAAGCACCCAGGTTCAATCCCTCGTCCCACACAAAAAGAAAGAAAAACGAAACAGGTGGCAAAGACCCAAAGGTGAGCAGAGCCTGGCACTGGGGAAGAGAGCGGGCTGTCAGGGGGGTGGGAGGAGTTCACGGCGAGGCTGCTGGGAGCAGGTCATGCAGGCGCATGGGGAGGGACTCGACTTTGAGCTGAGGGCTCCAAGGACCATGGAAGGTTTTAAGCAGAGAGGACAGCAGACTTGTGCTTTAGAAAGACCCTCTAGAGCTGAACACAGTGGCACGTACCTGTGATCTCAGCTACTCAGGAGGCTGAGGCAGGAGGATCACAAGTCAGGGCCAGCCTGGGCAACTTAGTGAGTGAGATCTTGTCTCCCTAAAAGAAGGGTGGGCCTGAGGCTGGGATGTGGCTCATTGGAGGAACCTTTGCTTAGCGCGTGCCAGGCTCTGGGTTCAATTCCAAGTACCAAAAAAAGAAAATAGGAAAAGAAAGATCCCTCTGGAGGGCAAGACTGGAGGCTGGGAGGCCAGGGGAAAGGCTGTCAGGAACCTGGGCAGAGGGGCACCGGGGCCTGGGCGGGCAGGAGGGAATGGGGGTGGGTGTGGAAGATGCTCAGGAGACTGACTGGACAGAATGAAGAGCCTACAGGGCTCTGGGGCTAGTGGCCTGAGGTGTCCAGGACAAGGCCCAGTCACCACCTGGGTGAGGGCTGGAAGCTGTGCTCACCCCTCCCTGGGGCTCTAGAGGAGCAGCAAGAGTCTGATTGCTGTGGGGCGAGGTAAGAATTCTGGGAAAGAGTAGGCCATGGCGGGGGCTCCTTGCCCCCCAGGACCTGGGCAGGCAGCCAGAAGTGGCTGGCACTGAGCTGCAGCCGAGCGCACCCCTCCTGGCCGGGCCTCTTGCTGCCTGGCAGGTGGTGGCAGGCACAGAGCCCCAGGCTCCGGGGGCTGTGGGAATACAATAAAAGATAATTACTGCTCACTTTAATTGAGCCCTGGTGGTGGCCAGGTACACTCGCCGACCTCCCCGGGGCGGGAAGTAGGTGGCTGCAGCCCTGTTTGTTCTCTAGAGGAAGCCGGGCTCGGAAGCAGAACTGCCTGCCAAGGTCAGAGCGTGGGCACAGCCCCGGATATCCCCTTCCTCGCCACGTGCCTGGCGCTCACGTCCAGAGGCACCGGGCCCTGCAGAGAGGAGGGCCTGGGGGGTCTTAGGGACTCAGGATGTCCCTGTCTCCCCATGGCTGTTCCTCTGTGAGCTTGGTCTCACTTTAGAGATCCTGGGGCAGAGCCTGGTCCTTGCTCATTCTGAGTCTAGGGGAGGTGGCTCTGCCCTCTTTCCCTGGACCCGATGCCCCCTTCGGTAAGTGGGGCTGGGGGAGCGCATTCCCCCTAAGGTGTGCTCCTGGCCTGAGAGTTGGAGAGGAAGGCGGGCACCGAGGGTGGGGCCAGGCTGCCTGAGCTCAGACCTTCCTCTGTGACGCTGGGTGAGTGACTTGACCTTGCTGGGCCTCCGCTTCCTCCTCGCTCCCTGGGGCCGTCTGAGGAGGGGGTGCACTGGTGCTTGTGAGGCAGGACTGGGTGGGTACAGAAGGCGGCCGCTCGCTACGGGCCCCTCCCCGTCCCTGTCCCTCTTGGGCCCTTCGTGCAGTGGCTCTGGGCTGCTGCCACTCTTCCTGGTCTCACAGAACTCAGCCCCGTGGCTCTCGAATTTCAGGTGAACAGACGGGCTTGGGGAGGGGACCGCTTGTCCTGGTCTTGTGCTGCGGGCCTGCTCAAGATCTCGGGTGCCACTCTCTGCCACTTAGTTCTCCCGGCCTGCCCAGAGCGCTGGCCAGCCGGGCTCGGCCTTCCAGGGAGGCCTGTCGGAGCCGGTGCTGGTTCTGCCCTCCTAAGGCTCATGGTGCTGCCCTCACCTGACAGTGACAACCAGGTGGGCAGGGCTGGGGCAGCCCAGGAGGGCACCTGACCAGACTGCAGGTCAAGTACGGCTTCCTCAAGGAGGGACACTGGAGCCATTTGAAAGGTTTCCAGAAGGATGGTCACCTTGCTGCTGGCTGTTTCCCTAGGAAGCGGCTCCTCCCTGCTCTCGTTTCCGTCCCTGTCACTCTCTGTCTCTTTCCTTCTGTCCTTCATCTTCCCTGAGCCACTCACTCCTGCCCCCCAGGGCTCGGCTGTGGTGTCCCCTCAGAGTGCCCGAACTCTGGACACTCTGGGTCCTCGCTGACGGGGACCAGGGCTTTCTCTCCCCTGGACTGTGATTCAGGGAGGCCAGGGCTAGGGGGCTCCTGTGTCCCAATTCAGGGCCAGAGCTCAAGAAGTAAGGGAGACGGCCCTCATGGGGCCCACCCCAGGGAGACTGGCTCCGTCGGGTGAGTGGTGTGGCCAGCAGAGGTGGGGTGAGTGGTAGGAGAGGACTCAGGATGCTCTGCCAGTAAAGGTGGAGCCAGGGATCCGGCACAGGCCACCTGCCTTGTCCCCACCACTCCTGCCCCGGGCCCTGAGGTGGGAGTGGAAGCCTTTGGGGCTTGGCCTGCTTTA